TTGCGTTGTGATCATTTCCTGAAAAATACGACCCCCCCCCCTATATCCATCTTCAAGTACGACCCCCCTCCCGGGGGAGGGGGAGGTCGCAGTACCCACGTACGTCCCAAGCACGTCCAGCACTCTGGCGCTGGTGTAGCATACTGATACGTACGAGGAAGGGACGATGATAGGAGCTACAATCACCGCCCACAAGGGCACCATGAATTTATAATTAAGCAAAAGGACTCACGACGTGACGATTAATAAACCGATGAAAGTACATTCCCGGACTTTTCTGATCGTAGGAGCACATTTGCTTGCAATTGGGAAGCCCTATCTAGAAGTTACACCTTCCAAACACTGCGTGAAAGCCCCATGCATGGCGCATTGCAGAGGTGATGCCAATTGGCGCCCAATGGCCTATTTCCTGATACCCTTTGCGAAAACATGTCTCTTAGAAGCATACCAAGTCATCAAGCCAACCGGAGGTTTCATGGCCTCGGAGGGGTTGATTTTTCGGTGTCGTGGGGGGTGATTACAAAATGATCACAACGGGGAATTTTTTCGAATAGTAGGTCTAGGAAGGAAATTAAAACCTTGCTGGAAAGTAGAAATCTTCAAGCTTCCGGCACAGTTCTTTTTTTTACGAAAGGTCGTGTATGAAGCTTGCCATGGACATTCCAAAAGCGTAGCGACTCGCGTCGCAAAATGATCAACATCAGAAGCAGATAGAAGGAGTTCAGATGGATCCAAAGATGATCACACACGGGAAAATCTCTGAACCGAAGTTTTTTGAAATCGCTTAATTCAGGTGATAAGAGCCAACCTAGCTCTACTCATTCCCACTTACCCCTCTCCGATAGCTTCACTTTCAACGAAGTTATGGGCGTTCAAATGAGGGGTACTTTTCACGTGTTTGGCTTGAAACTGGCTCCAGGCCGTAAAATAGCGCGCACCAATGAGCTTGTATAAGCGCGCTGACCGCGAACAGCCAAAATTCAAAAGTAATCCATAGTTCCGGTTCCCAGCTGGCCTGGTGAGTTTTTTTTTCTTATCTTATTCTTTTTCTTATTTGATTGTGAGTTATTTTGATTGTTTGTTTTTGTTGAGTTTGGTTTTGTTTTGTTGCGTTTGATTTTGTTGTGAGGAAATTGCTCAGGATTCAATTTCTACGGTTTCATAGGTAGCTTTTGCAATGGATTCTTTTCTAGATTTTGCGGATTAGTGGATTGGGATTTACCTAGACCAGATGAGGAGGGTTGGTGGGCGAAGTGTCTTGAAGTTTTTGTGAGGAAGGTGGAAAAAGTTTCAGCAATATTTTTTTAATTCTTGACTTAGGAATAGTTCGATAGTGCCTAGTTCTATTTATTGTCATCTACATCGTCCCTTTTGAGCTTCTTTTTGTACCGTGTATCACCGCTCTCTCCACTTCAACATGGGCCATGCGTTTACGACCCCCCCCTCCATCGCGGGCAAATACGACCCCCTGTTGTGATGATCACAAAGATGGCGTGCCCTAGGGGGTTACGTGACAACTAAAACTTTTGGTGGGGGTCCTGCCACGATAAGCCAGAGCGCAGAGCAATAAGGGACTGCTACTGCCAAGGCATCGTGAGGTACAAAAAACACGATGCAGGCCAGGAGATGAGTTTTTTTTTTTCGAGGGGAAGGGACACCGGGTGGATGAGCCACTTAGTATACGTGAAAAGTTGGAATGCGAAAGGTCAAAGTGGCTAAATCGCCATTCAAGGCAAGAGAGTGCAGAGAAGAACAGTAAGTTGGCGCCAGTGATTGAGTTTTAGTTGTCCGTAGAACCGGAGGGGGGAAGGGAAGGAAGGGAGCCGGAACCGACTCCAGACGCGCGTTTCGAGATATTTCGGCCAACTTCTTATAGCCATTGCCGCCACCTTCCTTTACTCCCTTCCACTAATTCCCAAAATTCTTCCTTTCTACCATCTGCTACAACCAAACTATAAACGTTACAGTGCGCAAGTTCTTCGTCCGTTTTCTACCGTTCTTACGCACGCCATTTCTACTTCCACTCAGAGTCGTAGTGGCTCACTCAGTGCGATGTGGCCTATACAGTGAATTGCGGGACCCGGCCGTTGTACAAGTCATCAGTGTTTTTATCCCAGACGAAATCCTCGGTACCAATTTACCTGTCCGCCAGATATAAGGCTTTGGTTTGCCTGAAGGGGGAGGACCCATAATCCGGTATTTGATGCCGAGGATCACCACGACATCATGTGCGCCAGAAATTTTTCTCTGTATTTCCTTTTCATAACGTGACTGCTGGTTAATAAACAAGTTTAGTGAAGCCATAAGGTAGATAGCCAGATGTCCTTCCGAAGAGCATAATTTCCTATAACACATTTACTACGCTACTCCAAACTTCAGTGTACTGCTAGTGCAGCCTTTGAATGACAGACACCTAGATAATGGCTCTATTATTGGCCAATATTATGAAGACATTGGTCCAAAATCCCACGTAATTGAGGCAATATACGTAAAACCGGAAGTATAAACGAGGAAGCCGCAAAGAGCAAGCGTTATGGGTGTTTATGATGGCGGCCGGGGGCGAATGGGGAGCAAGAACTGACACAAGAGACTTGAATATAATGGAAGTTGAATTGAACTTCCATAAAACTTCAGAGCCAAGCGCTTGAATGTTGAGTGCGTTGAACCTGACACAAGGAAGAATTACAGGATTGCGAAGCAGCTCCAGAAGAAAAACAATCGCGATGGAGCTGATGAGGACGCTATTTTTCGACACTTCAGCATGCTATGGCGGAGTCATGGGGAATGTGACATCCTTTACGACAACAGGTGGAAAGTGTTACGAGAAATAGGAAATGTTCACGCCTCGTAGCCAACGTGTGTCAGCCATGGATTCAAACCGGCGCCATCAGGTAAAAAAAAAAAAACAGCAAAACGATTGGTGCTATCACCGTCAACTAGCCTATAAAGAATCGTTGAGAAAATGCTGAAGGATTGTAACGCGTTGACAGTCACTCAAACCACTTAACAAGACCAGGTGATATGGTTGAGAGATGAGGAAGTGACGACAAGAAGTCGCTTATCAGTCTCTCACTTCTTAACAATTGTCACGGAAACCCTCTTGAAACCCACGGTTTACACGTCGAGCAGAGATAATGAGCTGAAAACAAATACTTTTCGCTGACTAACTACACGCAACCCCAAAGCTACTGATTTATCTACAAGGATTCAAACCTCAATAAAATTCCGATATGAAACATGAATGTAGAGCGTATTGTATGTACCAATTGTTGCATGTGTTCGCCAATAATCCTTCTATGAATTGCAAAACAGTATCGAACCTCCGAGGTATTTCAGTAGCCCTCTGCTTACAACCTTTTTTCCGGGGAATTAGGCGCATCCATTGGGGATGGTCGCGCGATAACGCGTGCAAGTTAGAGGGTTGTGACAAAAGAATCGTAATTCACCGCGCTGGTGGCGCCACCCGCGTGCGACGTCGCGCCCGCAGCAATTACGTGGTTTGCAGTTAGAGATGACAAAACAGGCAATTCAATACCGAAAATAGCGATGAATGTCTACGATGACGGGGTCTACATGACTACAAATGAAGTCCTATGCTCCAATAGACAGGTTTACAAGTCAAGAAAACGATGCCTTGCGGAGGCCGGCAAATTTACGATTACTCTTGCCGCGGCGCCTCCTCGCAACATCTACAGGGCGACGTGTTTTTCTGCATATGATGACATCCACTTCGCGTAGACAAAAACAAACAGCGGAAACACAAGAAATGAAAAGAGAAAGCATCGCAAATCGCGTTCGAGCGGAGTGCGCACCACTGCCAGAAAGAGATTTTCCTATAAGTACTCGAATGAGCTTCTCACATAAGTTTGTGCCTTTCCAACATAGATTCAAACTGACTATGCGTCTTCTTACTAAACGACAACAGATGGTGTTTTTTGTTGATGATATGTCGTTATGACCGCCCTTTTCGGCACAGAACTAAATCTATTCGTTTTACACCCTCTACTATGCCCCAGCGTCAAGCTCCAGCCTAGCGAAAGCATGCTATACTCAACGCTACTGGTTACTGGGGCACAGCCTGGTGCGTTACCCACTCCGAAATCTGTGGCGCCTGTTGTGGTGCGTGATTTGGAGCAGCGCCACTAACCTTTTTCTAGGATCGAGCTGCGGCTTCAGGTTCAGCGAGTGGGCGAAACGGCCTGCCGCGCCGCGCAATAAATCCTCATAGCGCGCTGACGCTCGGTGTCCACTGTAAGATATGGAATGAAAAATCTTTCTATAAACAAATCATAATCCTAAAGTAGTCACAAATCCATTGTAAACGGAGAGAGGTGTGAAAGCGTGATGAGAGAACACCGCGGCAGCAGTTTCCGCTCGGCCGGACAGGCTCAGGCAGCGCATCAATCGTGGAAAAGACTGGCCGCGCTCTTATCCGTCGCTTCCTCACAATGGAGACCACTCTATATCGTGTTGCGAATCACAGACGCAATGTCAGAGGCTGGAAAGAAAAACGCCTCCACTACCAGCTCCGAGGCTCGTCATTAGTTGGTATTTGGCTTGCGTGTGCGTGATAGCTCTGAATGTAGTGGATCCCTCGTAATACTGCCTGGAGAAAATTTCAAACAAAAACAGCTGCTCGATTTAAAAGGACCATCGATGTGTGCGATTGTAAGGGGAAACTGGAAATCTCAGCGTTGTCAAACTCTTTCAGGACGTTTCATCCATTATCACTTCCATTCATAGTGAAATGAGGCATTTGAAGCATGCTTCTAAGCGCCTAAACATCATTATGCGCGGCCCAGTCAATGTAGAAGTTAGCGTTTGTTTCTCTGAGAAGATCCTGGAACATGGCAGTTCCGGAAGGGTAGGCTTGGTCGGTTTGGGCGAGAGTCGATGCGAGATTTGATCCCCAGGCAGCGAACGTTGATAGCGTTGTCACATATCATTCTACCCTGCACTCTGATGCACACGTTCTCAGCAAATATGTGAATAACATCAACATGGATATGATCAGCGCTCCGCTACCGAAGCCCCTCCACGGCAACAAATACACTAGCAACACTCACGAAAAACCCCGCACACGTCTGTAGATCATATTCCCTAGAAAAAATACGACACCACCCCATCTCCAATCACAAGATATTCAAATACCAAATAACCCCCAAAATGCTACGTAAAAAAAAAACTCTCACTAGATTTTCCCCACTTACCCACACTAGTTTTCCAAACCATTTTTTTCACGCGAAAAATTTCCAAAGTTTTTCAGAAACCAAGAATTTTCCAGCAATCCGAGCGGAGGGAGGGAAGTATAATACCAACCAAAAAACAATGTAAAAACAAAAAGAAAATTTCTCAGATTTCCCAACAATGCACTACCAGTTAATAATCTGAACAATATTCTCCACCCCGAAAATTTCCTCGGTTTGCCCCACCCTAAAACCTCATTGCTGTCCCAGAGCGGGGGGAGCGGCGAGGTCTTGCTGCGAAGGTTTTCCGTAAAGATACGTTGGCCTTGCGACTTGATGCACCGCCATGTAGGGACGACATCAGTGGCCAAACAGCAGATGATCGACGAACTCTGATGCACAATGCCTCGATCAAACTTGCCCGGTATCGTTACATTTAATCGGCTTATAGTAGATAAGCAGCAGTGCTTAGTTTAAAGATATTGTAAAGGAAGTGTCAAAGCAGATCTGAAACAGATCTAGCCAGCCGGGAATCTTCTCATTTTTTGAAAGGCATCTATCTCAGAATCTGTTTTCAGTAAGTTGAGCGAACGTCCCACTGTTGAAGAGCTTGAAGATCGAAATATCTTGAAAACAGCTGCTGTACGATCGATGGAAGAGAAGAGGAAGCTTTTGTTGAGAAAGGTTATTTCTGAAAATCGAATTATCGCTAAAACTGGAATACTCAACAGATGATGTGTTTCAGCTGAGTTTTCGGCCGACAATTGCACAGTTGAAAGAGCAGCAGATTATACAGTTCAATGATTATGTTGAAGTTACACAGGCACAAGCTTACGATAGGAAAGCTGATAAGCCGTGGACGAGATTGACGTCTACGGATAAGGTAAGGCTGCCAAATCTGATTTTGATATATTCCTGATATGAGAGATTTTAGGCACTCATTCGTAAGGAGCTCAATGATTTCAAGGCTACCGAAATGGATGTGCATGAGGAGAGCCGGATCTTCACTAGGTATTTTGATTTAAAAGAATTTTCGAGAGAGGGAGAGGATTACAGGATGTCTGGGGTGCGGATTAGGAGATCCGATTGGCGGTGACATGGCGAAGGCTATGTCGAAAGCGTGCATATATGGCGTCGCTGTGCGTAAAGCCCCATGCGTATGCAATACGGACCTCTGAAACAAGTGATCACGCAGTCACGACGCGGGTCCTCTTGCCGGCGCCCATGTAGTATATCTTGTTGCACTACCCTAACAGATAACGAAAAGCTGTCCATTATATTTCTGTCATTAATTTTGATTGATGAAAACAGGGCTTTAACTGGAGAAGCGCCGCATTTAATGTTCACAATCTAGGTTGCTGCTTCCATCGGTCCCTAATATGGTACCGGATTCATGTGGGCGGGTAGAAACCGTGAAACAGATCAGTTGACCTTTGTATTTAGATAATCGTCTACGCGGGTAGCGCTATGAAATGATCTTGAATTTAATATTCAGTGCGGGCGTGCCTCAGTAGGATTGATTATCGCTAATCACTCCGAGACAAATTACAACCCGAAGAAGTAGCTGCGCATAATTCTTTAATAATGCTTATGGGTGGCAACCGTAAACGATTTCACCCTTCAGGGATCATCTCATCGGGATGGATGGAATGGCAGTACCAGTGGCAGTACCAAAGAGAGGGTCTTGGCACTACCCCTATCAAAACATACCACCACTGCGGCCCCTGCGCATTCAGCTCCTATCCAAATTTTTACGAGTATTTTGCTGTCGAACGGGGAGTGGGCAAGAGGAAGGGGCGCTGCATATCAAGAATGGGAAAAATCAACAGTCAGCGGAGTTCACTCAATGCGAAATACGACCTCATCGCCTCTTATCGGTGATACGCGATCGTTTCAATGAGGTTCCCACAGCGAAGATGTACGTTATCGTCCTTACAAACAGGATTCATATTTCAGCGTTGAGGGGGGGGGGGAGGGAGGGAGTGTCTGCAGACCTGACTGTAGACGTTGCGGCAGCAAACAGTTATTGTTCATACATTGACATAGCTGTGCATGCATAATAGACTGCACCTCTCTGCATTCAGAGTTCGTGACAGACCACATCGGCATGCGTCCGTCACGTGGGCAGCGTCCTCTGCTGGTGTTTCAGGAGAGTATAGAAAATCAGAGATTACCAGGGCAGACATTTCTATTTTATGACGCCTAATCACACTGTCTGATACTCTCTTACTCTTCTAAACTCTCTCGAAACACTAGCGGCCGGTGCGAATCAATATCACTCTGTGACTGCTTTCCTATCTGCTATAATACTGGAGCACGACCGCTACGATAGCGCGTCGACGAGCGTCGAGAGTGAAGTCTGAACGTAGCCTCACCCTGCGATCTGTGCCGGAGACTGCCACCACCGCACTTGCAGCGAGGTGCGTAGACAGCTCTCCGATGGCGCTCTAGTACTGGGGACGGGTTTCCCCAGACTTATCATATTGCTGATAACCGCTCCTTCCTTTATACTTCTCGTAATCTACTATCGAAAGGTAACCTTACTGTTGGCAGGTTTCATCGGCCGTGACTGGAGCCCTCTGATGAGCTTGTTACTGTTCATGTTGATCTGACTTGCGGATTGGTTGGAACTCTACACTGAACTATGCTCTACTACATCGAACTGTCTGCAAAAGCCAATAAGTATAATAACTGGTGCCCAATGTTCATAATATTATGAGAAATAATAACAATAAGAGGAAAAAGACCTCATATCTCCCTGTGATAGCAGTATTGTATGCGCGCCAAGATCATCTACCCTTTTTCAGCTTTGAATTAGGCACTGCGTTCAATGCGATGTAATTGTTTGTTCTATACGATGTAAAGTTGTATTTTACGAGTGAATTCAAAGCGATTACGGTCGACTCTCCTTTCATTATCTGCACATTCTCTAGTGAATGTGGAAATAGTGATTTCTTATATTGCTCTCAATTTTTCCCAAAGATTAGAAATACTTAGACCTGATTATTCACGAGATTTCGTGGGATTTAATTCGATTCTCTACCAGTAGGTGGCGATACAAGGGACTACACGGAGCTAGACTCTTCCCTTGGTCCTCTACCCTTAGGAATGTCGCAAGAATAGCGGGCCACAAGAAGATTCCTTCGGGTTGCCCCTTCACAAAATTTATTACTCCAGATTTGCTTGCCATGAAGCGGGAACAGTTCTTTTTGATAATCGTGAAAAATCAGGTCTTTATGCATACCCGTTAACCTCGTGAAGCTTCAAGACACATTTCACTTCTGTTTTTGCATGCTTTGGAGTGTTTATAGTTTCACCAAAAAAATCCTTTACGGTCATTCTCGATGTACAGGTGGTGGAGGGCGCAGTTCGGCAACGGAGGAGATGTGAGGAGGCATCTTGTAACTTTCTTACTTCCCACTGACTTGTCAGGCCATCAAGTGGAGACCCGTGAAATCGCACCGCAAATATGCACTTTATCTCCCGTATATGGAAAGGGCGTGGCTGCTTACTTCATTTGGACTGGGCGGTGAGTGCGCTTTGTTTTGAGATATTGCCTTTCTGAGACATTTGCAATCATGTATTTGTTTAGCACAAGACAGGGTCTCAAAGGGGATTAGCTCACAAAAGGGAAATAGCTCACAAAAAATGCATCCTGTGTCATGTTCAAAAGGAGTACGCTCTCACATCCCGCCCAACCTAGGGATTTGAAGAGTATGTGCTGTACAAGTAGGGAGAGGTAGGGGATGTTCACTCAAACCGCTTTAACCTTTAATTCTCCTGCTGCCGCACTTCGAGAGACCCTTTTTAAGAACAGTGTGCTCAAGAAGGCAGCCGTTCGCCGAGAATGACCACTATCCTAGTTGCCTACCTTGCAGGCTACCGTCTTGGGAGGCATGTGTGGTAGAATCGAACGATCTGCATCAAAGGCGCATTCCGCGCTCGTTCTATGAGAGGAGCCCCTTCTGAGGTGCACTTTACCCGTAGATGGTCCAAGATGACAAAAAGGGTAGCGCACCAACGAGAGGACTGTCCAAGTGGCCCCGCCCACACTATAAAAGCGCGATGTGCCTTTGTGGGTTGATTAGCCGTTTCTTTGGGCCAAACAGTGCGTCTTCAAATTCACGGCATCTCGTCATCAACTATGGGATAAGGAGTATTCAGTGTACGACCCGTTTAGGCACTAGTGCGGGTGAGAGGACAAATGGTGAGATTATCCCATCTCCCTTATTTGTTCATCATCTCTGCCTCCGATTGGATGCTACCAGGAACACTATCTCAATGGGAGGCCGCAGACGAGTAGAAATAGGTGTAAGCCGTTCTCGCTATAGCCCTTTTCACTACACTAGCTCACATCGGTGATAGCGTAGTTGTGGGAGCAACCGTCCTTTCTTGTGAGGATGATGGGATGTCTGGAGGAATAGTTTTGGCGCGCTGCCAAACTCGTTCTCTACCAGTCGTCGAAGCACACAAGCGGCAACAATTGGCCGAACGATACGTAATGATCCGGAA